TTCCCTTCCATTTCCTCACCTCACCCCATTCTTCTTCTTCGTCTGTTGGTTAAACTGCCTTGAACATCCCTAATAAGCTCAGTCCCAGGCAAGCGACACAGTCTTCTGGTATTTAGACCACTTCTGTCTAACTAGCAAGCACTACTACTGGGTAACCTGGATGATTAACACCTACTACTCATATCAGTAGTACATGTCGTCATTATTCATTTCTCACGGTATCAAGCTGTCATCCAAACATATGTTTGGTGAATTTTCACCTCGAACTTTTGTAATTTGCAAATTGTGAATTTTGAAATAGTGTTGTCACTTTTTCTGGTAAATTTCGATATTTCACAAACATGGTGCTGTTTTTAAAAACTAAGTGGGTCATCATTGTAGTGTGTGTTATTTTAGTGTGATTTAACTGACCAGTCCTATTCGATCGATAAAACTGAACTTAAGTGTTCTTAAATGCTGTATGAATCATTCTAGTTGATTGATGGTGTAACCGTGTGTTATAGCTATTCATCACGGAAAAATTATCTGCCTCACACTGAAGTGTTCTCAAAGGGTAGGAAAACTTTTTATGAAATACGTTTATTATATATCCTTCCTTTAAATGAATTCATGTCATGAATAGTATTAGCTGATATAGCTTAAGTTTGGTTTTATAGCATATATATGTAGTGTAGATGGTTTTCGTGGTTGAATATTCTCCAGAAGGTCGACGTTCGATCGCCAACCAACGTGTACTCGTGAGCCTCTTTCAGTGGTTTAAAAGTCCGCTAAAGAGGGAAGGCTATGCGTGAGGTTGACAACTCAAAGCTCAAAGTCCCATGTTCTACTCGGAATTAAAAGGAATAAAAATAAAATTTTTTGAATAGAATGGTTAATGAACAAAGAATATTCTTTTCTATAACTTCATCATCAGGTTCTACAGTTATATATCCATCCATAATAGTGAATGAATTAGTGTTATTAACAACATTAATGTCGTTTAAATAACATCGAATCAGTCAGTGATATCAATGGATTACAGTTCGATAGCATCAACATAACAATACACTGAATATCAGAAAAGTTAGGAAAAATAACGATACATATTCATGAATTTATAGTCTCCACTGAAGGCCAGGGCGGTACTAATGGCTTGACTTGCTTCTTCTGCATACAGGGCACCGGCTGTTAGAGGCGAATCGCGATAGCTTCTACTGTTTGGAGTATGCAGTACCTGGATGTTTTTGGCAGTTTATTTGGTAACCAGTAGATGATAGAGGAGGATTTTTCAATGCTGGCTTTGTGGTCGGTTGGTATGGACCAGGTGGTCTAATATTGATCTGTTTATGGCTAAATGAAGGTGTAGTAAAGGCCATCAACACACCTACACACACCAACTACAACTATTGTTTATTAGAGATTATAGTTTTAAAGTTTCACTTAGAAGCCTACTTTATTTACTATGGTATAGGTTTTTACTTATTGTCAATAAACTTTAAATAATTCATGTTTTATTACATAAAACTGTACATAATCATTACCTGGGATTGCGTGGAAAGTAATTATATCGCCAACAGTTGGGTTTCGTAGCCCAGTAGATAGATTGTTGGGTTAGTAACCCAGAATTCGTTAGTCCAAATACTACCGCTCTCTAGGTTTTCATCTTTTATTTTTCAACCTTCGGCTACTTATCGTTACACAGATACACACACATAAATTTTGTTACAAACTTTGCAAAAGTGTCCTGCTAAATGTGACTGAAATGTGATAGAGTATCACTAAAGAGATTCTGTTGTTTTCTTCACAGTTTTATTATTCCCTCTGTAGTCAGTATTTATCATTCTCCTCTCTTTCTGCCTCTGTTCCTTATACCCATACCCTTCGTTTTAACCATCTATTGCCTACTTTTGTTTATAAAAAATGTGTTTCGATTACTTCTGAGCCTGAATGCCAGTTAGCTGTGAAATGAATGATAAAAATGCAACAAAATAACACAAGTCACGAATCTATTAATCAACTCTATTGTCAATATCTTCTGACAAATGAGTTATCTATGTAACTAAATATTATATGAAATTCTCTTTAGCGATTATAAAATGTATATATATATATACGCTTATTTGACCCACTCAGCTTTCAGCCAGTGTTTCCCGAGTTCGAATCCCTCCCTGTTTACATTAGTCTGGACAATAGTATAGTGTCAGCTACCACAAAATAAGTGTGGCTCATAATTTTATGTGATAGACAGTGGGGATCAATAAGACAGGAATACTTTGATCTGAAAAGAAAAATCTAGAATACCTGAACTTGGTGGACTATTTATATCTAATGTCACACAAACCCGAAGTCTTATAGGCGAAAGTCAAGAAGTTGACAGAATAAGCAGCGAAGATAGAACTTCAAGTGAACGTAGAGGAGATTGGGGTGATGAAGATGCCTAGCCAACAACAACAACAACAAGCGCCAATCCCTATCAGCGGGGGAAATCTGAATGAAGTCAATTATCTAGCCAGCATGGTTTCAACTACGGGCGACAGCAGGGATGAGGATGTCAAAGTCAGCTAGGAAAGCAAGACAGGCTTTCATTGCTCTGAAATCACTTAAAGTAAGAAACAAGATCCGAGTTTTCACACTGAGGAGACTGCTGAGTGAGATCATTCACCAGGTAGGCCCTCAAGTTGAACCGGAATGAGAAACGATGAGTTAGTTGTAGGTCCTAAGATGACATGGTAGAGATAATTTAACGAGGAGATGATAGCCCATGGAGCAATATTAAGGTTAGGCGTCGAGTGCTAGGTAAGGAGGGGAAATCAATAGGCGCGAGGCTGTGAAGTTACATCGACTGAGATGGTTAGGACATGTGTTACGCATGCCTAGCCTACCCATCACTTTCCTTGACGGGCAATGTCAGCTGACATATTGGGTTAGGTTGGAAAAGAGCCAGTGGTGGTCAAACCAAAACATGGCTTCATCAGCCAATAAAATCCACAACAGTTAGTTAAATCCCGTTACGTCAGGAAGTGTAGATTTCCTGACTAGTTGGGGTCCTCGGGACGGTAAACACCAATGGCTGGAGATAAATGGCGATAAGGCTCTAAATCCTCGTTCTCAATGGCTGGCTCAGATGCATCCACTCCTTGTAACTTATAATACCCGATGAAACTATATTGTTCTTCGATATTACTATTCTTTTTGCCCGCTGCTCATCAGTGCAAAGTTCTGTGTTGAAACCAGTCAGTCAGTTCATGGGAAACTGTAGAGCCAGCTGTAGAGGACTTCAGAGAACAGGATAAAATGAACACGTACTGTTGAAGTCCAATGTATCACTCGGAATGATAATATTAAAAAATATATTGTGCTAGTTTACTGAGTTTTAGGTAACTAAATAATTAGTGTATGCCAGTGGTTCCATTGTGGAATATTCGCCAACCACGCAAGAGGTTTAGGTTCGACTCCAAATGGGTTTTCGGTACAGGGAAAGACAGAAAGTCGGGTGTGAAATCAACATCACCTCTACTGAAAACTTCAAAGCTGTAGCTTGAAGTCCTATATATTCCACTGGGATCGCAAGGAATCAAAAGAGAGAGAGAGTTGACCAACTTATATCAGTTATATCTTATTAATTCTACAATGAATAAAGTTTCCCTATTTTCATTTTATTTTGAAAATATATTTTTCTGTCATTATGAATAAAAAATTTATATATATATATATATATATATATGAAATTACTTTTTATTTAATGCATTTCAATTTTTGTTTTTCCCAGTCGATGTAAATTATTCTGAGTCAAATGAGACAAAGATTGAAACTTTTGTTTGTTTGTTTTTTTCCTCCTGTTATTTTTACTTTCAAAACAAAATGAAAAAAAATTATCCACTCTGATCTTACTTATCTCATTGGTTGAAACTATCTACACTGTTAGGGTGTTTGTTAGATTTGTAGTTCATTTCAATGCAGACGATTTAAATTTAAATTTTTCCTTTAGTGATGGGCGAATTTAAGCGATCCATAACCTCGAACTAATTTTTTTATTCCTTCACGTTCCCAGATACTTTAAGTTTCGGTAGCAGTGTTAATTTTTACAGGATGGGGTTGGTAGCCTCATGCCCATCCTCTCCCTCTTTTTCAGTCTTATTACTGACTTAGCGAGGTTTGGGAGTGTGTCGGTCGCGGATCGAACCCCGGCCCATGTGCGTGGTCGGCGAGTATCCTGACCGCTGTGCCACTGACTCACTGAAATAGCCTCAGACTAATAAGTATAGGTAACTTACAACTTATCATTATCATTCTCTATGTGATTACTGGGCACGTCAGTGGTTCCGCGGTGGAATGCTCATCAACCATGCACGTGGTTTGGGATTCGATCCCCAATCGACACACTCCTTAACCTCGATGAAGCGATAAAGACAAAAGGTTGGACATTAGGTTAGAAACCCTACTGCCTAAAAATAAAACCACTGCTAATGAAACTGGAAAGCTCCAGCTTGAAGCCCTATGTTCCACTGGGAAGGTAAAAGAATAGAATAAATAATAAAATTATTATTACGCAATAGGTGATCTGCTTGATACTAAGGATGGTAGTCAAGAAAGCAAACACAATTGCATGAGAGGGTATAGTACTGACTGACTGACTGACTGAGATGTGTAGTCGATTAGCAATCACATCAAACCGTAATGCTTGTTAGTGCTTCACTTCAAACTTATTCACAATTTACCAATTTGATTCAGTGCATTTTGTCCTAGCAGTTAGCCTAAATTCAGATAGTTTGAATTGATTCAACTCTCTAAGTTCAGCTGAACCGGGTACACCCCGGGAAACGCCGTGTGGTTCACTTTAGTTCACTTTAATCTGGTTAGCAAGCACTACCGGTCGATGTAAGGTGTTCCCAACTACTTTTTCACCAATCAGTCAGTAGTATATACTAGCGTACATTTTCATTTCATTTCTTTTATTATACATTTAACACATATTCAATAGTAGCAATAAAAAAATTACCTATTTGCTGATTATTTTTTAGTGCGTGAACGACGTCAACGACGTAAAGAACAAGCACATCTGAGTGGTACACAATATTCTGGTGATGGTGATGATTTAGAGAGTCAAGAAGCTCTAAGTATTGATTATTCATTCGATGGAATACCAGAGACAACAGTTGACCATTCTACTGGACATATTGGCATTGGACAAGTGAGTACTATATTTTGTGTGTGTATGTGTGTGTGTGCGTATGGGTTCGTGATCTATAGTTGTCATTATTTATTCTAGTTAATTATGCATTGATACATCATGTTTACGTGTGTAACTATCACTAGTATTAGTTTTTAGTAGAAAGCGTAATAATATGAATATTTTATAGCATTTATGTACTACTGATTGAAAGAATTCGAGCGTCATGCATGGCTATTAGTCATTCTTGAGAATTGAACATTGATCCTCCGTTTTTTTAAAAATGAATTTTGGATTTTCCCGTCGATTGATTGGACCGAAGTGCTCGGTCTCAGGTTGACATGTCGGCTTCTTGTGCAGATGCTTCGACGATGTCTAGGCATTTAATTAGTATTTAATCGGTGGATGGTGACTAGCAGTGGAATCCAATTAAATTAATATGACCCGTTGCACAAGAGGCAGTGGCTCTCGTGGCCCAAGTGGTCTAGTGGATAACGCTTTGGTGTTTGAAACTATGGGCACTGGGTTCGAGCCTCGGTGCGGGGAACATCATCACTCACTGAGAAATGCAGGTACATCCAGATAATGAGTCCTGAATAGGACGAAATGCGCATTGTTCTGGATTCCACTGCTAGTCACCATCCACCAATTAAATTGATCCTCCTTGTTCGTCTCACTCTCCTTATCAAGTTATCAAGTCGAAAACTTCTTGAATTTTAAGAGTTGGATAGACTCTATACTAGTGCCATGTTTGTTTCTGCACTATGTGGACATGAAATCTGGTTGAACGAACTCCAAACTTGATTGATACTCTTGACATGCAATCTGAAGAGCAAACAAATAAATAAGTATCTCATTTGACGAAATTTTGAAATGACTGATTCATCAATTTTCGTTATTCATTTTTGTTTACAATTGAAGAAAACTGAAATGTTCGGTTAGAGTTTGTGATATTCTGAGACTACAAAATGCCAGCAACTCTTTTACAGTCTTTTCGTTGTATTTTGCCACAATACTCATACATGACACCATTACAGTTTTTTCTAAGGGCCTTCAGGTTAAAGTGCCGGCACTTCATTACTCAAGTATTCTTTCATACTGCAATGACCCATGAATTCTGACACTCGAATTGATAGACATCCATCGGTCACGTCTTTTCATTGCATATTCAAGAAACCCATCTCAAAGGTAGTTAGATGAGTAACTAGTGAACTGATTCCTAGAGGTGGCTATAGACAGTTCATGTGTAAACTGTATTACCTCTGTATCACTTTTTTTCCTACCAATACAAATAAACATCTCTAATCAATAAGTGTTCTCCACTAAGTGAAAATCTTTATTCAAACATTCATCAGTGTTTAAAGCATTTATCTATGCACCTCATTTTACAAGGACTTATTCTCATCCCTTCTACTACTACAACTACTGCACTTTCCCATTAACACCTGTGTCGCATCAAATATAGTAGGTGTTTCATGTTCACCTTCGTTATGATAATACTGCTGTGGTCAACAGGCTTTATGAAGATGATTAATGTCATGGCAGATCATAAGGTGACATCATTTAGAGAATCACTGAAAGCCAGCAATCACTGTACGACCGTTTTGTCCTTGTCCATGACTCTTCAGAGGCCCACACCAACGACCTCGCCAGGGATCGAACCTAGGACCTTCAGGTTACGAGGCGAGCCCGCTGACCATTTAACCACTGTGACGGAATCGAATGGCTCACGAATTTCAAATTCTGCCATTTCTCAATGGTCCTCCAACTGATTTCAGCCCATGATCTAACTTGAAACCAGTCACATCCCTGTAAATGATCACTTAAGGACGTTTAGTACAAATAACAATGATATTATACGGTGGTTCCCTTTATCCTTCTTTATGTTTAGGATACACTGCATTTAAAACTAAAATATCTGAAGAGGCTAGCATTATTTGACCATAATTGTATACATTCTAATATATACGCAGGGAATCATTAATATTCATTATTTATTTCACACACTAACATAATCATTGATTTCACGCATCTGCGTGATTATCGATTTAAAATTACTGAATCCCCAAGGTCGTTAATATTTTTAAAATGTGACATTGATTTTTCTAATTGTATAAATACGGAGTTGTTGTTTAACATTTTCGACTGTTGTTTGAGACAGTAAAAAGCTCTCATATCAACGTCCAGTCTTCTCTTTTATTTGTCTTGCGTGCCCGGCGGTATTATTGTTGTTGTTGTCGACGTGCGATCAGGACAGATTAGCCAGCGCATTAGTTAGATTCGCTCGTAGTCTACAAGGTCCTCATATTCACATACATAACAAATTTGGCGACGGGTTTGCTGAAGATGGACCCACTGCGTTTAGAGAAACTAATGGAACAGCAACTAAAATTGATGGAAATGCTTGCTGGTCTACAAATATCACGCTCTGCTGATTCATCTACAGCCAACGACAGCATTGGTAGTAGCATCTCAGAATTCGTTTATGATCCAGATGCGAACGTAACATTTGATACCTGGTTTCGCAGATATGAAGACCTATTTCGAGTAGACTTTGCGGATAAAGATGATGCCTGGAAAGTACGGCTTCTACTTCGTAAATTGGGAGCAGATGAGCTAGATAAATACTGCAACTTAATTCTCCCACAGAAGCCCGGTGAAAGATCATTCGATGAAACTGTCCATACCCTTCGTCATCAGTTCGGTGATCAGAGATCTTTATTCAACATTCGATATCATTGCATGAAATTATCTCTGAACGAAAATGATGATATCCATACTCAGTTGGGTATAGTCAATCGCACGTGTGAACGTTTTAAATTGAAATCACTCTCAGAAGACCAGTTCAAGGTATTGATTTTCATTTGTGGTTTGCAGTCTCCCAAATTTGCTGATATACGCACACGTCTATTAAATCGTCTGGAACAAGATCCACGGATGACTCTGAAAGACGCCGGTGAAGAATATCAGCGTTTAATCAACATTCACAACGATACCGTCTTGGTGCAGTCTGGCAGCCAAAATGCAGCAGAAGTGCATGCGGTGCATCCAGTACCGTCGACATCAACCGCACCGCTTCACCCTCAGCATAAACCACCATCAGCCTGCTGGCACTGTGGCTCCTGGCATTTTGCAAACTTGTGCGCATTCAAACAGCATAAATGCCGTCAATGCCATACTGTTGGTCACAAAGATGGCTACTGCAAACGCAACAACCGACCCAGATCTCGTAGTCAACCCAGACGGCGCAACAAGCTCAAGTCTTTGGGTGTTACTGCCACATATCATATTAGTACCCCAGCACCTCGCAAATATATCGATCTGACGATTAATACACGGCCGGCACGCCTACAAATCGACACAGCATCCGATATTACAATAATATCAAAGAAATTATGGCAGAAGTTGGGATGTCCTACCATAGAGAAGACAAATCAGATAGCAATTAGTGCATGTGGTGGAAGACTTCGATTGAATGGAGAAATAAAATGCAGCGTTGATTTTCGCGATAGTCATTTCGTCGGCACATGCTACATCAACAATTCTAACCTTGACCTCTTGGGTTTAGACTGGTTCGAGAAGCTGCACCTGTCAGAGATTCCGTTAAGCAGTGTATGCCAAAAGATTGAAAGTATTGAGCCCTCAACAAGGAAACCAGAAATCAGAGACAGATATATTAAACCTAAGCCTATTAGAAAGAATGACGTGATTAATGAAAAACCAACTTCGAATCGTCACAGTGAGTATGGATGCGCCAAAAGTGCTTCGATGTCTGGTAGCAACAAAGTAGCAACTGTTAGCTCCAGTAAGACGGGCTCTACTCAAAAACTGAAAGTGATGTCTGTCATGGCAGCCAAAGATCCGCCACCGAGAGCATGGCCCACGTCAAAACCATGGTCCCGCGTACATGTGAATTTTGCTGGGCCGATAGAAGGTATGTACTACTTGGTTCTCGTGGACTCTTACTCAAAATGGCCGGAGGTAATACAAGTGACACCACCTTCTAGCAGCAGAACAGTATCAGTCCTGGAAAAGATCTTCGCATGTCACGGTATACCAGAAATCATCGTATCTGACAATGGCAGTCAGTTCACCTCACAAGCGTTCCAGGAATTTTGCAGGAGAAACGGTATACAACACGTGCGGTCGCCACCTTATCACCCTCAATCCAACGGTCAGGCAGAAAGATTTGTCGACACCTTCAAACGAGCCTTGTTGAAAGCAGGGGGAGGGGCGAAACCGGAAGCAATACAAAACTTTCTTTTTGTATACCGAACTACACCACTGGCAGAACAGAAGAAAAGCCCTGCAGAACTTCTAATGGGTCGAATGCTACGAACTCATCACCACTCCATGTTACCGTCTTCGTCACATCAACGAAGAAATAGTGTGACGCATTACCGCAAGGGTGATGCTGTCTATGTGCGCGATTATCGACCGAGGAACAGAAAATGGGCCGAAGGCTTGATAGAACGTCGACATGGAACTCTATGTACAAGGTTAAAGTTGGGGATGAATGGTGGATTAGACATAAAAATCAGATACGACGTCGATATACTACATCCCAAGAACCTAAATTGCCACTGGAATTACTACTGGAAACCTTCAAAATACCACCAGTCAAATCAGAAGCAAAACAAGAGATGCTCCCCAGCCGACGATCCCAGCGCAAACGAACACAAACAGTTCATTTCCAAATCGACCCCAAGGAAAAAAGATACTAAACTGTTTGCAAGATTCCTTTTTAAGGGGGAGGTAATATATACGCAGGGAATCATTAATATTCATTATTTATTTCACACACTAACATAATCATTGATTTCACGCATCTGTGTGATTATTGATTTAAATTACTGAATTCCCAAGGTCGTTAATATTTTTAAAATGTGACATTGATTTTTCTAATTGTATAAATACGGAGTTGTTGTTTAACATTTTCGACTGTTGTTTGAGACAGTAAAAAGCTCTCATATCAACGTCCAGTCTTCTCTTTTATTTGTCTTGCGTGCCCGGCGGTATTA